GGTAAAAAATGCCTGGCGACCGCCGGACTGAGATAGGTGTTCGTCTCTAGGCGGCGTTGTATTCGCTCGCCCGCCTTTTCAGGTCTTAATAAAGTCCGTGCTGGTACCTCTGCAGATTTCACCGGAGCAAAGCCTGAGGGAATGACGCTCTCATGGCGTGAGATTGCTTTTGCGAAAGTGCTGTCTGGTCGATGGGTATGCACTGTCGATAAAGGATAACGATTGTGACGGGTCAACAGTCGGAGATATACTCTTGAAGATTCGCATGAAAGATATCTCTCTATTGGTGTTATGCATGCTCCCGCAATGACTCCCATCGTTGAAGTACAGCGTGGCAGTCCAAGACATGTTCTCAATGCCTGAGCTTGCGAAGATTTGCTGCCTACGCCCATGAACGATGATCACCTATTGGAACAATGGCACAGCAGTCCAATCATGCTTAGCCCTTTTGTATTTCGTGGTTTTTTTGGATTGTTCGCACTTCTTTAGTGTTCATGCTTATGAGGATGATGTTGGTGATTGTTCTATCATTACGTTCAGTCCGTCGTATATCTCATTCGAGCAATGTATCCTAGACCATTCAAGAAAAGAAGAAAACGTAACGTGAGGCAAGTGTCGGGGGACAAAGTTTACGATCCGGCGCACTGTTTGCGCGAAAGATAATGAGAAACGTGGTTGTTATGGGAACGGGGCTGTCATTATGGACTGAAAGGCAGCAAAGAAAGGTACAACGTCCGGTGGCGTGCACCGCGTTTCGAACAAGCGAGGTGTTCGCCACCGGCGAAGTCATTTGCGATTTTCGCTTCCTCTTTGGAGGAATCGTAGGAAGGTGGGGAGGTAGAGATCGGAACCTCTGGGCTTCACCGGTGGATGCTAATTAGGGAAGCCCTGTGGTCATTACCGCGGTTGTGTGTCGCACCTCTCGCTGCTACCGTGGTGGTGGGACTGTCGTTAGCGCGTCGGCCAGCCGAGGCGTGCCCGGCCTGCCGAACGTGAGCCCGCCGCTTCCGAACCGTCAATGCGAATCCACGCGGTCGTTAGCGAGCGGTGCGACCGCCGATTGGGTCCGTCATGAAGGGCGCGGCTGGTTACCGGTGGCGGCGAGTCGAGAAGCGTGACAGTGACTGAATGGCGGCACGCTATACAAAGACGGGCGGGCGAGCGCTTTTCTTGTAAAAGGGCGAGGAAGCAGACAAACTGAGTTGCATTCGCGTGCACGAACAAAACACACTGACGTGGTCTTGCGGAGATGCATTGAAGGTTCTTCACTGTTTATTTACTGATCAATATCGTCAGACGTCTGAATCTATTGCTGCTGCCACGATTGGTGAGCTAGCTGGAGTGCTATCGACAATTTTCGAACAGCAGAAGTCATTCAGGAGGCACGGAAATCTCGGTAGTTTTCTTGCGATAGCAATTACATGGACACTTTCGGCTGGATTTTGCCGCCGGCGTCGTCGTCGCTCACCGTATATGTATACGTATCGATATATATGAAAGCGCCACAAAGCAAAATAAACGAGAAAAAGACTCCGGCGTGCGGAATTGAACTTGGGTCCTCCGAATCATGAGTGTGAGGCGTTAGCCACTGAGCCACCGAGGAGCCACCTTTTGCTCCAACCACTGAGCCAACTTTGCGGCAAAGCTGTGACTTTTAGGAGCGAAGCTCCTTAAGGCGTGGGCTGTGCGTCCCCTGTATGTAGCCACCTCTCGTGGCTACATACAGGGGACTACATACAGTGGCTACATATAGTGGCTAGCGTAGTATTACGCTAGCCACCGCCCGATCTAAAGGGTACAGCCATATCCATCCGTCCATCCGTCCATCCGTCCATCCGTCCGTCCATCCATCCATCCGTCCGTCCGTCCGTCCGTCCGTCCGTCCGTCCAAAAGATGCAAGATGTTATAAACTAGACGGCGGTACGTGTAGTTGATTATGAAAGATGCGAGGTGTTATAAAATAGGAATGATGCCACATATGGCGCGTGTCATCGTTCGATATAGTGCGGCGACGTACGCTAGGGGGAGCGTTGCAATAAAATCGAGTGGGCAAAATGTACGGAGGATTCATGGTTTACCAGGTTTACCTCCGGAGCTTCGCCCACTCATCATCATTCACTTCGTGGATATGGCGGCATTTTTTTTCGCGTTCCTCTGCAATCTTAACGCAGCCACTGTATACGGGTTCGAGCCGAGATTTCGTGTTTATAGGTAAACGTGAATTATGGAATCGTCACCTATAGCTGGCTATGCTTTGTACGCTGAGTTACAGTCCATTCAGAGTTGTGGGACATTCAGTTGTGCGACATCACTACAGTCATTTTGAATATTCGGTGGAATGTGCCCCGCCGCGGTGGTCTAGTGGCTAAGGTACTCGGCTGCTGACCCGCAGGTCGCGGGTTCGAATCCCGGCTGCGGGAGCTGCATTTCCGATGGAGGCGGAAATGTTGTAGGCCCGTGTGCTCAGATTTGGGTGCACGTTAAAGAACCCCAGGTGGTCAAAATTTCCGGAGCCCTCCACTGCGGCGTCTCTCATAATCATATGGTGGTTTTGGGACGTTAAACCCCACATCATATTCGGTGAAATGTTTACGTCATGTGCTGAAGGGAACCTTCATGCCACAAAGTTTTATTCTTTTCATTGCGCAGGGGTGCTATTAAAGATTGCTCGAGCAACGTTGCTCCGAGCTCGCTCCACGGTGGCCATGGCACTAAGACAGTGCGGAGTGCGTGATATATAGCAGCGCTGGTAAAAATGACTACAGGAACGCGCGTGGCGACAGAAACGCATGCGGGACATTTGCGGTAGTTGTCAAAGCAACACAGCGTACGTGCGTACACGTCAGCGCCACAACTCAGTCAACATTTCAGCAGTGCAGGACCGCCAGCTTGATTGCCGCGCTATCTTCATCGCCGAATCAGCACGCGCCTCCCACAGTCGTGTTCGTGGGCGTTTGCGCTCTTTCGGGCAGCTTCTTTCGTTTTACCTTCAGCATGAGCATTTCCACTCTCGAAGGCAGCAAGGGTGCACACGCAGCACTCTCGTGCTGCTCTTTTTCCTTGTATCAAATATTGCAGTTAAATATAAAGACAAGTTGCCACCATGGGCGCTCGCATCATGGCGGCAACGCAGATGTAAGTTGACACGTCGTGAGTGCGGTGAAATCGAATGCGATACGTAGTAGCCATGGGGTGGTATAAATTTTATGCCTGCGTGCATGTGTGCATGGTCCACGCGATATAGCTGATAGATGAATCTTGCCGCTCAGTGACGTTGCTGCGTGAGCACTGCTCCTTGGCAAGAGTGAAAGTCATGGGCGGACCCGACCTTCGTAGCGGGCGTCTGCCAATCAAACTAATTGACGGATGAGCTCGGATACAAACTCGTTGATAGGCCCGTTCAACTCGTGACTGTCATGGTGCCTGTGAAACTGTCAAGTGTTTGATGCTGTGGATGCTAAGCAGCAGCTTCTTTGCATATAACATAATTTGGTCATTTCGAACTGCCATAGAGCAGCTTTTGATAAACAACTGCTTAAAGCTCTTCAATTCGGTCGTCTACTCATCTGCTTGGTATGGTTCGAAGTGAAGGCCGCATCAGCTCTGTCTTATTTTTTTGTTTACACCAATTACCTTGGCTTAATGAACATAACGCTGAACACTCTTGTGTTAATTGATAAGGTTTCAATAAAAACGGCAATAATTATCACGGGTATATTTGGCAAAGCCAGCATTAGTATAGAGCTCTAAAACGGAATTCTTATTGGTACGATAATAATTGTCATCATATTGGTAAGGTCTAATTAGCACTCTTTCACTTTGCGTGCTCATGAATAACGTCGCGTTAATTAGCATAGTTTAGTTAGCGTGCCAAGTAGCATGTATTGTTATAACAGTTCTAGTTTTACATCGTTTAATTACCATGATCTTATAGTATGTGGCGTCATTACCTCGGTCTTACTATGGATTGGTCAATTACCTTGGTCATAGCATGTCCTGGCATAACTAGCCATGTAAAGCGCCCGGCCAAATAGCTAGTTAGCTCGGCCACGTGCTCGGGTGCTAGTAGATGATGAAGGGGACAAATAAGGTGCGCACCAGCCGAGAAGCGCGCTAGAATGTACAGGCTGATAATTAATACGGATCCTCAGGTTTAGCTGTGGTCACGCTGATGGGAGGTGCTCGGCAGGAACGAATCTCAGAGGCTACCGTGCTGATTATTCTAAAGCAGACTTAGTGCAGGCATTAAAAGCTTCATAATTAACTTAAGCAGCTCGTGCCTTTCAAAAATATCAGGAAAAGCTTCTGACACATTCATTGCATGGGCGCACGTTTGCACTCAGTGGAAGGAAAACCAAATGAAAAAAGGTGATTTTTCTTTGAAAACAGCACGTTAAAACATAAATAAGATACGTAATCTACAGCAATGCAAGCGGGAAACCGTATTATTTGGTGGAGCTCGACAAGTGTGGTTGTCAATATTTATGTGGTCCCAAACGCTCTTAGGCCTCTTAGAAGATTTAGGCTGCACTGTGTTCGCACGGTTATTGACTCATACTGTTTGTTTAGGTGTCTGGTCACGTCATTCGCGGTTTTCATTATCATGGTGTGCGTGGTCTTCTCTAAAAGTTAGCGTCTGTGTCTATAGGATCAAAGGCTGCTATTAAGGCGCACCTTATGACATTCCGTCAAGACCCGATTTAAACGTATACGGACACAGTTTTGCAGTTGTGATTTCTTGGTTAGTTGTTGGTCACTTGTCTGACCCGACCCACCTGGAAGGATATCTAGACCAGGCATGTGGTGGTACGTTGGTTGAAAAGGTAGTAAAAAATATGTGGCGGTACATTGGTTAAAAGGTAGTAAAAATATCACCCAAAATGAAAAAAAGTGAATCGAAAATTTATATAATAGAAAAAAACGTGAACTTTTTTGAATATGACTTAAGTAATAGTTTAGTAAACGTCATGCTTATTCGCTTATTTCATTGTTTTTGTAGGGCCTTGCTGGAGAAGGAAAAAGTGGGCGAAATTCACTGGGATGATTGGCAAGAAGGTAAGTACCTTGTAGATAAAATACATCACGCTTAAGGCCTGGTCTGGTTGCACATGTTTTAGGGGCGAAGCTCCTTAAAGCGGCACCCGTTCGTCCTTCGTGGTAGTACGTAACATGTTTCACGCTTTGACCTGCAATGTGGTGCCGGTGGGAGATATCTCCTGTGCGTCGTTGAACAATAAAAAATTCGCAGCGTGCGCGTTCACTAAAAGCCGAATTCTCCTGTCTCTCATTCCTTATTAGTAGCCATTGGCATATACATTGAGCACTATCTGACAAGAAAAGGTTGCTACGTTATACTCGCTGGGCGTAACCTCCTTGGTTTTAAAAAAGTTAATCGAGCGTAGGGACGCAGTGCAATGAATACAGTGAACTAGTACATACCATGAACTTGAGGTGGCTAAAGGTGGGAAGTAGACATGAAGCGCAAGCCGTAAGAAAGTGTGCGTGTGCCACCTCTCGTTTAGTCCTTGAAATGTCCGCTGGATGGCGGTGCTTCTATATGCGGAATATAAGATGAAAAGATGCGAGATGGTGGTACTTGGAGAGTTGACTCGATGGACGAACGGACACACACATATGCATGGACGGACGCACGGATGGCTGCACGGACGGATGGGCGCAAGGACTGACGCAGGGGCGGATGCATGGACGAACGCAGGGATGGACGCACGCACGGATGGGCGGATGGACGCGCGGACGGTTACACAGACGGACGCATGGACGGACGGAAGCAAGAACGAGTGGACGGACGGATGCTTCGCCCCACTCTCCATCGTTCATCCCGCGGATATGCTGCCATTTTTTTTTTACCGCGCTCTTAATAACTGCGGTTCCTTGTGGTTCATTCCTGTGCACCACGCAACGAAAAACTTACACTCGCGAGAGAAATTGCGTCGCATCTCGCAGGGCGTTATGATGTGCTGCAACATTTTTCTTCCGTAGAAGGAAATTGAGCCGGACTTCATTTCGTGGTGTGCCATAAGCCTCAAATCGGGCAGACTGATCAGGAATCGGCCGTTTCGTTGGCGTAGAAAAGGACCGTTAGGAAGAAAGGACATCAGAAAGACAGGAAAGGCAAGGACGTATATCAATTTTGCATAACCGGTGTGCTACCTCCACATGGAAAAGGAATGGGGGGGGGGGTGAAAGATCAGTAAAGAAAGAAAAAAAGAGAGAGAGACGGAGCACACACGCTCCGAAATATGGCGTCACAGCGCAGAGCGCCAGCATTGTGTGGTGTACGTCACGATTAAAAGTCTTGCGGTGTTGCACGACCGTTATAAAAAATTATGCTATATCAGCATAGGCTCAACCCCACCGCAATAATTTCGGCCGGATGTACGTCATACAAGAGTATTGAAGACGTCACAAACGTCTGGCATTCTCGCCCTTGCGCCCTTTGCGCCTTGGTGTTTGGGGAGAAGCTTCCGGCGACCAACTACTCCTCAGGGCACCGGCGTGTCTTCCCTGACTGTACCGAAGGGGAGAGGCGCGGAGCTGTTCGGGGCAAATGACCTCGATGGGGGATGCGTACGCCCCGAAGAGATTTTGACAGCTTGAGCAGTTGACGTTGAACCAGCGAAAAGCGCGGTCGTCGGTGTCGCGAGTCACGCGTAGGCGGCAAGCACGAAGTGTGCCGAGCAACGTGTTGAGATGGCTGCAACACCGGGCACCCTCGTCGTCTGCATAAACTGGCGAGGCCATCAGCGGCGCCCCGTAAACTCCCTTACGTGAACCACGAGCTCGACTGGTCCTTATGGAACTATGTAGTGTACTTTTTTTTCAACCGGTATTTTATTATACCGCGCTTTCAATAATTGTATTGTGCTTGTTGCGTCGCATGTAGTAACTCAGAAGCGTGAACTTACCCAGTTCTGTTTACTTGTACCACTTGTAGTGTACTTTTAGAGCTTAGTTTTTTTGTAGTTATTTTTTCATCACGCGTATCTTTGTTTTTCCCTTTAGTTAACTTTTGTAGGCTCTTGCATTGCCCTTGATTTAATTAAATGCCTGTTTGTTTTTCATCAAATGTCCCTGTCATCTCTATGAGTACGTCAGTCAGACCCAAACATCGCTACACGTGCAGCCCCGCATTGGTCAACCGGCCTGCATATGTAAATTTGAAATGTTCCACTAGGAGGCCTTTCAGGCGTCGCAGGCCTAAACGCAAAGTGGTTGCCTCACGCCGATATGAGATTGGTGGGGCCTCACTACGAAGTGTGTTACAGAAGGACTCAGGTAATACTTTGTCGGTTCTGTTTTATGGCGATAGCAATCGTATGGACAGTCTCAGCTGGTTCTTGCCGTCGCCGCCGCCATCATGCTGCGCATATTGATACGTATCTATATATAGGAAAGCTCAAGAAACAAAAAAGGCCCCGTATCTGCATGTTAATCTGCAAATGTCGTCGAAAGACAATAGTCTTGCGTGTGGAGAAAGTGAACAAAACATTTATTTGATGTTCTGCGCAAGATTGTTGGTGAATGGTATTCTGGAGGCGCTGCTCTACAGTGCCTCGAGCGCTCAGCGGAGGTGAACGAGCGCATCAAGCAAGGCACGTAACACGTGAGACATGAGCGCCATTTGGCAGTTTTCTTGCAAAACGAAGCGCGTGGCTCTGACACGGGTGTGCGCGCCCGGGTAAGTGCCACCACCGTCTCGTCTTAGGAAAGCGTTGGAAACACTTGCCTTTTCGTGCAAGTGTTGCATGGTCAGCGCAGCGTGATAAGCGCTACGGTCCTTACACTTACTTATGTACGCCTTTTCTAGTAAAAGACGCACATGCAGAATATATACGTATTGTTATGGTGCCCCAGACATGCGCAATAATTTCTTTTTAATTGGCAATTGCACAAGTATGAACGCTAAATCCTAGAGCAACATTGGTGGGCGCTGCGGATGGGGTCGGCCGTTTCAGGTAACCCAGATGCCGTATAGAGTGGACAAACAGACAAATGTGCAGCAGACAGACAGACAGACCAAAATTTATGCGTCGAAGGTCCCCAAGAAAGACTATCGTCTTTAACAAAGCCGCCCGCACTCTGCACTCGGCTCGTCGCGATGCGCCAACGCGCGCTTATCATCCACGCTTACTTAGTCCTGCGGAGGGGGGAGGGGGATTAGGTGCTTGTGTGCACGCGCTTATTCTTCGGTGGGGAGAATCATGTGCCTTGGCCTTTCACAGGAACGATTGCGTTAGTTGCCTGGGCCACAGAGGTCACTTCGCTTCCTGGACAGGCCCCGTTTGCGAAAAGAGCGCGCTTTTCAAACACAGCGAAGTAACAACTGGGACACTCGTTAGTTCGCACTCATATCTGCAGCTGTGATTAAGTTTCGTGCGTCGTTGTTGTTTAAACAGCGCGTTAAGCGTCGAGTTGTAAACGTTGCTAGTTCTCTCTCGTCTTGTGTGAGTTGTTTTTGTGCGTCATTTGTGCGTAAGCAGCGCACTGCATTTTTGGATCTGCTATCAGCGTTACATTCCAAGTTGTTGCTATCGCATTTATTGCTTCGCCCTTGCGGCGAAACTGTGACTTTTTATGCTAAGCGAAAAAGAGAGGGAATGAGTTGGCAGGTTTGTGTGGTAGGGCCACATAAGACCGTTAATCTCTCATTTCTTACCATACCAATTATAGAGAAAACAAGTAACCAAGCCTGTTACTTAGCTACCACCGCAAGAAAAGCGTCTGCAACAGTGTACAGCCATGCCAGAGATGGTGCTTTTTTCCGCTCGTGGGGTCTCACCTCGGCGCTGATGGCTTATAAACTAGGCATGATATGGTTACGCTTCGCCGAGTAAGTTCCCTCTAGCGGAGGAGCTCTGGGACAGCCCTTTATATGACTAAGAAATGGCGGTATCTCTTAGACATGCGTATATATGTCCGGTGATACTGGCTCGCCCATAGTCTGTCAGCTGGAGCCCATGACGGGAAACGCCTGCTTTTCGCTGTCATATGCGAATTATGGCCCTTTCCTCGCTCTATGCACATATAACGTAGTTATGTTTACAGCAGGTCTCTGCGAAAACGTCTGCAAGCAAGCGTTTTCACATATAAGTGCGCTCACACTCACAGACGGAATCAGAGAAATGGCGGTAGAGGCAGAGGTATTACATGTTTATAGGATCGTCGCATAAACCGCGAAACAAAGCGTATCACGCTATGTAAAAAAAGAGTCAGAGAAGCAAGGAAAGGTAAGGAGTTCAACCTGACATCCTGTCCGCTACCCTGCGGGGGGAAGGGATAAAGAGGTGGAAAGAGAGACAGGAGAAACAAGAGAGATTGAAGGAATCACAAGCATGCTTAGGGAAGCACATCCAGGTGGCCGCACAGGTCTGTTGAGTAAGTACTTTAGTAGACCTTTTGTTGCCATCTACGCTGTCGGGGGGCACAAGTGCATGGTCCCGGAATCTCGTTTACAGAATATGACTTCAAGGCCAAATGGTTCGAAATCACCCGGAGTGGCCATCGCTGGGTGCCATAGCGAGCTCATTAGGGGTGTTATTCAATGCGAGCTTTAGAAAGTGCCAAACGTGCCGAATCAGTTGCAGACAACTCAAAAGCAATGGGTCGTGTGACATTGTGCGTAGCATCATCGGTAGTCGGCGCAGCCAGCGCACTTCCATTCAACATAAGAGCAGCCCGTAAGTTTACGCTGATATTTCCTTCTTTTCAATAATATTGTGATTATATGTAGCCCGTGGCAAATTATCTATTGTTATCTATCGGCCATTGGCTTCGTCCGTTAGGTCTATAGTGTGCTCCTATATTGGTATGTTTTCATAAGAATCGCTGCAAATCTTGCTTATAGTGGCGTCACTACAACACAGCGCGCGTGATTCGCACGCACCTTTTCCTCGCAGTTTCCATGTTGCTAGGCTTCTCCGGCTGCCTGTTCCTGCTGTACATTCTGATGCCGGTGGTCATTAGGCTGTCGAGCGCCACAGCGGCGAATCTCTCCATCCTCTCAGCAGATTTTTACGCGCTCGCCATTGGCGTCTTCGTCTTCCACTACAAGGTACGGTGAAGTTTTCGTATACAATGTGCGTTCTAATTCTCTATCTGTAACGTAGTTGATTTATTTTCTTGCACTTGCATGATTATGCAAACTTCTAGTTACTATAGAGAAGCTAGTCTGCGAAGAGCGTTTGGGCGTGCACTCTTAGTAAACAATATATTGAATAATGTCATTGGTATAGTGAATTATTTACCCACCTTCCGAATTCAGATTTATTCTAGCAACATACATTTTAAATAGAAAGAGTTTAAACAATGGGCACCGGGCGAAGTTAGCTGTGGTTGAAATCTTCCCCGCACGCGAACTTAAGAAAGTATTAAACGTTGCCGATGAATCAGAAAGAGCGATATACGGAGTTATGTTCACCTCTCAGTGCGCATTGTTTGCTACAATTTAACGTGTTATATTCTTCACTTGCATGGGAAAACATTTTCGAAAAGACTGGTTCCTAGCTGTGAAGGAGAAGCAGTTGAACAACTTCTGGAATTGCGATGTTGAGTCTTAGAGCACCGGGCGAGTTTAAAAGGAAAGGTCAGCTATAGCACGACACGTTGCGTTCAATTGCTCTTAATGTTGTAGCCTTTTCTGTATCTCGTTTTAGGGTAATTTTCTTCAATGACACAGCTGTCAAGATGCTTTATGTAACTTGAACAAAAGGGAATTTAAATATTTCTGCTTTTACAAGGACGCTCTATGTGCCTAGTTGAAACCAAAATTCGACCGTCAAATAGACGCGGGAACTCCTAGCACATGTGTGCCATCAATATCGAACACTCCCCATTACTCGCAACTGGTCGACTAAAACTGGAGTCGTCAGCGGGAAAAAGCGTTTATACTTCGGTAATAGGGCGAATACCACTACGCACTTCCATTCAACATAAGAGCAGCCCGTAAGTTTACGCTGATATTTCCTTCTTTTCAATAATATTGTGATTATATGTAGCCCGTGGCAAATTATCTATTGTTATCTATCGGCGATTGGCTTCGTCCATTAAATCTATGATGTGCTCCTGTATTAGTACGTTTTCCTAGGGATCACTGCAGGTCTTGCTTATAGTACCGTCACTACAACACAGCGCGCGTGATTCGCATGCACCTTTTCCTCGCAGTTTCCATGTTGCTAGGCTTCTCCGGCTGCCTGTTCCTGCTGTACATTCTGATGCCGGTGGTCATTAGGCTGTCGAGCGCCACAGCGGCGAATCTCTCCATCCTCTCAGCAGATTTTTATGCGCTCGCCATTGGCGTCTTCGTCTTCCACTACAAGGTATGGTAAAGTTTTCGTATACGATGTGCTTTCTAATTCTCTATCTGTAACGCAGTTGATTTATTTTCTTGCATTTGCATAATTATGCAAACTTCTAGTCACTATTGAGAACGAAGTCGGCGAAGAGCGTTTGGGCGCGCACCCTTAGTGGGCAATATATCATGTTCGGTTGCTAATTATGATGCACTGTCTTCAAATGTGTCAAATTTGCATGGCGCAATTCGAAGCCACTCAATATTACGTTCCAAGAAAGATAATGAAGAAATGTATTGTTTTGCGCGAGTTTCAGTAAATAATGTTATTAGCTCGTAATTAGGTATCTAATTAATATTTAGGTAGTAAGTGTCCATTCTTGCATAAAAAAGAATAAAATAATAGTCCCAAGTGCAAGCACAGTTTGTTTTTTTTTTGGTTAAATTCATTTTAAGCAAAGAAACAAATTACCCTTGACGTGGTTCCTGGAACGCTGCACGTCAACAGGTCGTCGAACATGTTAGTATTGCCAGCAAAGGGATCTTCTGCAGCATTACGCAGCATGTAGAAGCTGGATAATTGGCATTTGTCCACCCAAGAAGTTTGCACGAATGTGCAGTCCGAGTTTCAAGCAATTTGAATAAACACACGGTGTGGGACCTGCCTCTAAGCTTGACATACAATTACACGTTGCTGCTTGAGGGGATATTGATAGAATGTGATTGCCATAGTAGATTATTAACGCACCTTCCAAATTCAAATTTATTCGAGCAACATTCGTTCCATATAGAGAGAGTTCAATATAGAGAATGGGTGCCGAACGCTGTTAGCTTTGGTTGAAACCTCCCACGCACGTGAACTGAAGAAAATAATAAACGTTCTGGACGAATCAGAAAAGGCGATATAACAAGTTATGTTTACCTCTCAGTGTGCATTGTTTGCTACAGTGTAACGTGTTCTAATGTACACTTGCATGGGAAAACGTTTTCTGGAAGGCTGCTTCCCAGCAGTGAAGGAGAAGCAGTTGAACAACTTTTGGAGTTGCGAAGTTGAGTTTTATCTTAGGGCACAGGTCGAGTATAAAAGGAAAGGTTGGCTATAGCGTCATACGTTGCATTCAATCGTTTTAGTGTTGTAACATTTGGTGCATCTCGTTTTAGAGTAATTTTCTTCACTGAAACAGCTGCCATGTGACTTGAACAATAGGGCATTTAAATATTTCCTCTTCTACAGCGGCGCTCTAAGGCCGCGTTCACACTGAGCATTCCGGCCGTTGAAAGTGCTCCGAATCCGGTTCGGCGGCGGCGAGATTTGCCGAAAGGGCCCTCTCCGCGCCGATCGCTCTCGGACCGATTTTTGCGGCGTCTGCCGCCGAATCAGTCGCCGCGGACCAATAGGAGCGCTAGTCAAGGAATTTTGAAAAATGGCGGCTAAGCCCTACTCACTTGTTATGCTGCAGTGCACGTAACTGAATGTTGAAACCAACGGGAGTTTAACCTACTCTGTGCCTACTTCGCCTCCGTATTTCGTGAAAGAGGTGACCGAGCTTGCTGTTGGCGTGACCGAGCTTGTTGCGGTCTTGCAGAGAAAAACGAACCCACCAATGCCGCTGGCGTCGGTGGTTTTTTCTGCTCTTCGTGCATTACAAGACAGCCACTTGGCAGCAAAGTAAGCCGTACTGTCTTTTCTTGCTTCTTGCGTACGAGAATCATCAAAGTATACGCCACCGGATAGCGTAGTGGCGTTTGCGAGTCGTGACAACAACCGGGTGACAGCGCATCCATCCCGCGTTCGCCCGGTGGTAGATGGCGTATTCGGCGGCTCGGGGCGCGTCCAGTGCGAACAACGCTGCGTTTCGGCGACAGGAGAATTTCGGTCGCTGTAGAAAGCGGATGTTTCAGTGTGAACTATACCCCGCGACAACTTTCTGTGGCAGCACAGCCAAGGCTACGGAGCCGAAGCACGCTTGTCTTACTGCGCCACAGCATGTAGTCCCTCAACGAAAACGTTTGTATACTGTTCTGGGTAACTAACATTTTACCATTCGTCACATACATTTTTCGCGGATTTATTTTTTAATTAGTGAATAAGAACGTTGCGCAGTAGAAAAAATTTCGTTTCACGCTCTCTCAGGTTTTTTGGGGGTTTTTTGGCTTCCGTCGACTCGCGTTTCCTGCAGCGAAACGCGAGCAAACGCGAGAAATCGAAACCGAAACACCCGTCGAAGCGGTCGGACTACTTGGCGCAGTAGCACATGTGCATAGGCTCCGCCCACGTAGCCTTGGCCGTGCTGCCACAAAAAGTTGTCGCCGGGTATAGGCATAAGTGCCTAGGCGAAACCAAGATTCTACCGTCCTATAGACGCGAGAACTCCCAGCGCATACGTGCCATAAACGTCGAACGATCCCCGTAACTCGCTACTGGTCGACTAAAAGTGAAGTCGTGAGCGGTAAATAACACGAAATAACACGTGTGCCTCTTTAATAGGGCGAATACCATCACGCACCGTGAGGCCACTAAAGATGAGGAAGGTAACACAGCGGCGGTGAAGACCAACTGATGTTTCTGGACTGGTGTATAATGAATAGTTTAGTAGAACTTTAATGAACCCTCCAAATTGACCCAATACTTAAAGCCAGTGTCGGGTGCTTTTGCTTCGCTGCACGGTTAATCTTCTGTACGTAGTGTGAGGGCCCTGAGTTTTCCTTTGCTTCTTCAACGCCTTTTTATCTAACGTCGCAGTTCCACTGGCTGTACATGGTGTCCTTTTGCCTCGTCATCGCGGGCGTAGCGCTGTACTCATGCAAGCCCACTCCGCTCGGTCTGGGCCACCGAGAAGGGGACTCCGAAGAAGCGCTGGCCTACGCGCCGTCGGCAGGAGTAGCCGGAGGCGTGTGTCCCGTCACCCAGTACGGCTCTTCGGGCACCGAGCACGGCGCGGGGCCTCTTATCTCGGTGTCTCACGCCGTGAGCGTACACCACGCCTTCGGCACGGCGCACGAGCCCAGCCCCAAGACCAACGGTGCCGTCTCCTGATCATGCGGCTGCCCAGCGCCTCCGCCTGCTACGCCGACGACCAACGTTGCTCAATGAACCACACCGATGCCGTGCGCCTTCCATTTTTTTTTTCATTACGACGCAGTGGTGTCGTTTCCTGCGCGAGGAGAACGTGACCCCCTTTTTAAAAGTTCGAAAACTGGAACATCTGCTGTGTCAGTGTGGATCTTGTGGAACCAACTGGCCCCGCTGACAACGTCATCAAACCTGCATCGACGTGCTTTTGTAAGCATAGGCCAGATGCTGGTTACCGCGTGAACGATAAGAAATAGACTGACCTGGCCAGGATGGCTTCTCACGATACTTGGCTTTGTTTAATGTGCTGTTTAAAACAGACACCACAGTGACATTCATGTTTGCATTGACTGTCTTCGGAAGAATCTGATTGAAATAAAAATGAGGGAAACTGGTTCTAATAGATTAGGTAACGTAAGGGGCATATATTTTATTTTTCGTTCATTATTTGCGGGAAGCAATTTTCACCTGTGCATCTTCCTTAAGTTGACTATTGAGTGCAAGTTCGGCATTGGTGTGCTTGGTCCTAGGTGATCAACAGAGTGACCTTGTTTTTTTTTTTTGTCGAGTCGATGAAAGTTTTCCAAGTTTCGCAGCAAGTTCTAATAGTGCTTCTCTTGTGGGAATATGTTATTGTTAAAATAGTCACGATATGACTTATCAAAAAATAGAGTTTCATGTGCTACAGAAACAAAAAATGATCATTTCTTGTTTGTTGCTACGAGGGGTGATGAAAGATTATTGTGTAAAATCGTTCGATTACTCGATGTGATCTCTTAAAAACAAGAGAACGCTGCGTGGACGCGTCTCTTCATTATAGAGGCATATGTATGACACATTTTAGAGCTTGTCTATGACCTGGACGATATGTTTCGATTCCGGTGCTGTTTGAACACTGTTTGTCGTTCTTATTGTTCAAGCTTATCTGATAATCTCAGCGTAGTCTTGCTCAACGCCAATGTTACGTTTCAAAGAGCACCTGTTGCTGAATCACACAGAAATTTATTTTGATCTAAACTAGTGCATTGCGATCTAAACTAGGGATCGCAGGGTGTTTTTATGCTTGACCAGTGTCATCTTGACAACAGGGCTTTTTATGCTCAGAGCCGTCGACAAATATTCGTTGCACCACTTACATAAATTAAACAGGTGCTGGATAATTTTAAATGTTTGTGGAGACGTTGGAACAGCCCGAAAGTCAGTGTTATTTCCAGCCTTTCAGTCAAACAAATGCGTAACTTAACCTATGATTTCTCTGCAGAAGTGGATAAATGGTAAGCAGATAGTGTGTTGAGCGAAGTAAAGTCTTATAAAGTACAAAATGTATTGGTCTTATTCATAAGTAAAACGTAGTAGTTGGAAAAAGAATACCAGCACAATTTTAAATGTTTATGCCAGTTTTTTGTTTCGTTAACTTGCAAGAAAGTATATAGATGCAGTCAAGTTTTTTTTTCTGAAGTTGCTACTAACAAAAGTTTTAGAGATTCCAGAATATTCAGGCTTTTATTGCTAGTAGCCTTAAATTTGTGCAACTCGTGTGCTCACCAGAAATACATGTTTTGTAGTGTGCACTATTGCAAACAAGAAAGCAGTGTTCTTTTCTTTTTTGTCTTGAAAACTTAGCCTACTCTAGCAGTCTTGCTAAACAGCTTCTTTTCTATAATGATGTTGATGATGACCTCATATGAATGGCGCTCACCCACAAAGGGGGATGGGCCAAGAACTGGGTGGCAGGAAGCTTATCTCTGGGAGCATTTATAGCTGATGCATTGGTCACAATATCAGTTTAGTTACCTTAATCTGCCAGGAAACTCCGCTAACCTGATAAAGCGAGAGCGGTCTATGCTAACGAAACTATTTGGCTCGGCTTCACAAGCAACATGGTAGACTAAAACTGTGGTCTTAATGAACATATTTTGAAGATGTTGCACGTGTTTGATGCAAAAAGAAAAGAATTGCTTCATATATACTGATTCTTGTTTGCCGAAGAGAGTTTTGTGATACTTCATTACTATTTGCGAAGAAGTCGCGTGGCTAACTTGTACTTACTCGCAACTGTGTATGTAAAGGAAAACCATTGATTGGCGAAGAAACAAGACTGAAAGTCGTTCATGGTTTAAACTTTCTCCTCTTGTGTTGCAGTGCTCGTTTGCACGCCTTTATTTCCCCTTCTTTTTCTACAGTGTATTTATGCACTTCTGCAAATCGAGCCTTTTGTTTCATATGCATGAGTTAGCTGTTGTAATACCGTATTTTTTTTTGGTTTCACGAGACGACAGTCACTTGTGTGTAACTTTAATTAAGGTGTCAAGATATTCGGTGCATTTGCCCTACGTACATCGGTCAAATGAACTTACGCGCGATCTGGGAAATAAGCTCATTTCTCACGCTCGACAAAGTACGAAATAGGGCACTTCAACTAATGATTTAAAGTGTGGGTAGACACACTTGAATGTTTAATGGCTGAGCAAGCATGCGTATTCATTAAAAAAACATCACTGACACGGAGCGAAGTATAATGCACTTCTTTTTACTGCGTTCTCTCATTATAACAATAAGCGAGACAAGGAAAACTTTATGTAAAAATATCAGTCAAATACGTCAGGAGTCGCCCGTCACCTCTAGCCATCGGATGGAATCCCTTGAGACACGACAGCAGCAAGGGCTTCACTGATGATGTCTCACTCGATATTTTGGGGTCCGGTCTGCGATATTTCGAAATGCTGGTGTTTCCTCATTGTGACTCCGAGTCACACTGCCCTACCGTCCGATAGCACAGGACCTTCAACGAGCCACCTCTCTGAGTTCTCAGCGTTTGACTTCCACGAAAGCATCTTCTGCGACTGTGACTAGCGTGCCCCATTGTGTCGTGTCATGCACCAAGAATTCGTGGATATGCGGCCCTGCAATTTATTCGAAGAGACTGTGTCTTCGCAAAGCGAATATCATCGAATTTGTGAGCAAATTCGTTCAGATGCGAGTTGACAGCACGTCGCGGACCACATCTTGTTTCCTTCGAATCACTGGGATGTGGGTCACAGATACCGATGCCGTCAGCAGGGCGTTTGTGGTGTACTGGCTTGTGTGTATGCTTTTGAGCACGGTGGTTACGGAAACTATCTGCAATTACAGTGTTGCAATGCCTTCACGCATAAGTTTGTCGAATTGGTGCTTGCCGCACTTTAGATAATGCGTATATTATTTTGTTAGTTTTTGCGTCGAAAAGTCTACTTTCAACGGCCGAGTAATGATAAGGTGTAGGGAGTTAAGACTTTGTTGCCATGCGGCTGCTTTTTTTTTCTTGTTGATACTTCTCGCTGCTGTGACATAGCTTCATTGACGGTAGGAATTGAAAATCAAAACTTCTGCAATAAAGCTCAGAACAAGTGGGAGAACGGTGATCAGGAACGCTGTGGGGTTTGTAAACGATTGTTTCTACGAGAAGTGTGAATGCTACCGCCGGCGGTGTGGTACTGTTACTTGTACATATTGCCATAGAAAATTTAGGGCATAGGTTGGTTTAGAACAATATTTCTTTTTTCTTCAAATATTTGTAGAATAAATGACGGTTTTCGTCGAAAAACCAAAACGTACGGCAGTTATTGTGTTTATTCATGACAATGTTGTATTGGCTTTAGACATGTACCGTATTTAAAGTACGTGTGTCGGTTTGTACAACAGCAGTTGGGCACCCTTTTGCTATACTACACAATGCAAGGCTATTGATCGTTTTTTGTTCATACACATAACAGTCCTATAGGGTTGTGGCAGGAGTGAGTGTACATGTGAATGTATGCAGACAGCATACATTAAAATATTTAGGACCAAATAAGAGGAAATGAAATATGATCATATAAAGTAACTGTACACTAGCAAGCAATGGCATTTAAAAATTGAGAAAGTGGCAATAAATGAACTTCAGCAGCTAACAAACTCGAGTGTTCAGACGTGCGGAAAAAAACAACAATTTGAAAGTGTTAGTGGTTGGATAGAATGATCTAATGTTTGAGGTACGATAAGTTGCTCTAGTTCATGTAAAACAAGCAGGCTTCGAAAGAGAGAGATCAGAAAGGTAAGAAAGCGAGTTTTTGTGGGTGCACAAAAGCGTCAGAGATTCTATGTGCCGTCGTCTTGAAAGAAGTTGCAGGCTTAATCCTTAAAAAGCAGCTGTTGGAGAGAAGCTTGGATCAAAGTGGTGGAAAATGAAGCCAGCACAATATAGCGCAGAGAATGAACCAGCACCGCAAACAGACGTCAGAACAGAATTCTAGGCTTCATTGTGCGGCCCCGTCGTTTCCCTCTTCCTTAACCCTATATCACTCCTCCCTCTCGCTCCTATTTCCCACCATCGTGGTGTACTATATTATACGAGGTTACGCCGTGCTTTGCTCTTCCTTTTTGTCCTTCACATACTCACATTCACACCACTGCTAATCCTCGGCTTTCATAGTTTCAAACCACCTTGACATATTATAGAAGGCTACGATGTGTATTACGCCCCTCCCCCCGTTATTTAACTCCCCACCCTTAATTCCCTGTCCCACCTACTTGCTGTGCTGTACTATACAAGGCTATACTAGGAGATGATTTAGAGTCCAACCAAAAGTTTTGAAGAAACCCGACGGCAGATACAGAGGACAGCCCATAACATCAACCGCTCTCTCGGAGCCCTTCCACCAGTGTATACACGTGGACTGAGCTCCACGGCAAAACAAGAGAGAGAGAGAGGGGTCATGAGCCACCCCGCGAGTGCTTTGAAGCCGCCGCTGCTACGTAGCACTGCAGTCACTCCTTAGGCACTGCGCCGTGCTCCCGACCGGGTTGCAGAAATTAGGTGCCTTTTCTCATCTTCTAACCACTACCACCACCACTCCTGAGGAAGGAACCAAGCCGGTTTCGAAACCTCAAGTTTCTTCAAAACGTTCGGCTGGAGTCTAATTCATCTCCCAGTTTCATAACCAACCAGACAGACTTCTGTCGAATGTTTACATTCAGCTGTTCAAACAGGATGGTGCCTAACAAATAGAGAAGGCGCTGTCGCTTATCACTCGGCGCTTTGTTTGTCCTGGCGTCATAAGCGCGCGCATGACATGGGCAGAGGGGTGGCCACCACCCCCTGAGAGATGAACGCCATGCCTGTCCCGTACCTTCGATTTGCAGGATGTCCCCGTCATTCTTGATATACAGCCTTATGGCAATGCCTAATATATGCCCACGCATGTTTTGGAGGATAAAAATAACCGAGGAAAGAACGCTGATGTTGCATTTGTGGTGAAGCTTTGTAGCTGTGCTATGGACTGTACACAACCCATCTGAACCCCCCTAAATCGGTGAACCGGAGGCAGGCCGTTGTTTATTATAAAACACGTCGTCAGTTCATTTTCATTTTTTGCGTCCATATCGAAGCTTGTTTTTTTTTGCGGAATCGATGAACAAGATGAGAAAGGGGTGTACCGACACTGGTGCTGTTTACATTGTAATCATCTACCAACCCGACCAGTCAGGCGCCCCCATGCAACGGTTAGCTAGCATAGGTGAATATTTTACGGGGATTTAACCAGAGTGTCGCGAAACTAGTATACGTTTGCCAGTAGTAAGCAACATCAATCAACTCAAGGGATCACTCAGTGGGCATGACTCAACGTCGCCCATCGTATAGCATTCATTAGCGATATTGTAACAAACATTAGCGAACCTTAGCCTGTGGCAATCCGTGCTTGTAGTATGCGATTGAACGAGGTAGTTCAGGAAACTTTGGTGCTGAACTAAATGCCAGTGCACTCTATCAGAAGGTGCGTTGCACAAAGCGAGAGTTCGTCTGCATATTTGACTGATATATCCCGATATTGTGATGCGCGCCTTATCACCTGCAGGAGGGATGCCGCGCTACTACCATGGATCACTCCTCGTCAGGGGCAAAAGTGGTGGCATTCAATTAATGCACAAAAAACGCATGCTTTCAAATGTTTTGTCATAATGCGGGCAACGAAAAGCATTCCCTGACGAGCGGTGATGGTTGATTGATTGATTTGTGGAGTTCAACATCCCAAAACCACCATTTGATTTTGAGAGACGCCGTAGTGGAGGGCTCCGGAAATTTTGACCACCTGGGGTTCTTTAACGTGCACCCAAATCTGAGTACACGGGCCTACAACATTTCCGCCTCCATCGGAAATGCAGCCGCCACAGCCGGGATTTGATCCCGCGACCTGCGGGTCAGCAGCCGAGTACCTTAGCCACTAGACCACCGTGGCGGGGTGAGCGGTGATGGTAGCAGCGCGGTTTTGCTGGAGCCGGCAATAAGGTGGGCAACAGGATATCGAGATGTGTTAGCCTGATATGCCGACACACTCTCATTACGTGCAGCGCACATTTCGATAGTGCGCCGTTGGGCCAAGCTCGCATGCTTCGTTTAATTTTTGTAGCACCTGTGCATACGTCAGAAGAAGCGTAGTAGAATAATTTACTCGTAATGGTGTGACAAGGTGTCGCACAGGTCCCGTTAATTAGGGAGCCGATCGCCGGGCTAATTCGAAGGGTCGAAGTATCGGCCCCCCGAACCGCACCACGAAAGCGTGGACAATTTAGAAGTGGTCCTTTTTGGCGCGCCAGCGGACACCGGCTGTGGCCCAAAGAACAAGTCAGAGCCGAGAGTTGATAAAAACACACAATTATATTCTCAATAATGGCAGATCAAAAAAAAAAATACACAAGTATGCACACTCCACAATAGTTGCATACAATATGTCACCAATCAAACAACGTACTACACAGTACAATAAGCCACACTCGAAACAACGGACACAGACAACAATACGCACTACAATGCAGTCGCATGCATTGAACAACCAAGACACTTAAAGACTAAAGAGATAGAAAACCTATTCAGTCCAAAGTTCTTGGAACAAAAGTCTGGATGATGCTCTTCCGAGAATCACTCACTCAAAGTCCAGCGTTGTTGTCGTTCCGCTGCCCTAGAAGTTTCTCTTCCAGGAAACCTCGCCGAAGTTTCTCTTCCAGGAAACCCCGCGTCTTCAATTGGCCACTCTCCAAGCTTCAACTTCTTCGCCGGAAACACGTCGGCTTCACACACGCAGCCGTTGCCACGCGTCTTCGCTCGATAGCGGTAAACACACACTCTTGCCTGTAGCTCGAGTCGTCACCCCTCAAGTGGAAATCTTCTTCTTCTCCTGCTTTGTCTCCACGGACAAAACCTTCGCCGACTACACGGCGGAATCCCTACGCGCTCTGGCGCTAACTTCCGTCTTCTCCTGCTATCTCGCCTCGGCCGCTCGATTAAATAGCTTCCGCACGAGATTCCACAAGGTTCTCGTCATTTCGTCGGCGCGATACGCAGCGAAGGCTTGGGAGGGGGTGAGACGGTTCGAATGCCCTCCGCGTCGGATGACTCAACTCGGCATGACCACGCCTCTTTCCTTCTAGAAATTTCGAGTGCTTGCTCGGCAGCCGTGCTGCTCTGCGCCTCGCCAACGCTTTCGTGACCAGCCGGATTCTTTATTCAACACCTTACCTGCGTCTGCGTAAATGCGACGAGAATACACTAGACTGTATACTCCGCAAAATTTACAAACGTGCCCTAGACCTCCCCATCTCAATGTCGAACCAACGTCTCGCAGACCTGGGCATGACAAACACGTATGGGGAACTTAAAGAGGCTCATCTCAATAACCAGTACCTGCGCCTTAGTAGGTCTCAGGATGGGAACAACCTCCTACACCGCCTCCACATTTCCAACACCCACAAGGTGGAAGAGCGTACCGCGATCCCCGAGGATTGGCGTGGTGCACTGATCATTCCGCCTCTGCCCCAAAACATGACAAATGGGACTCACGATGGGCGGCGTACAGCGCGGGCTACAGCCCTACAGCAACGGTATGGCTCACGCCCGGGAGTCTTCTACGCGGACGCATCCGCCCCCACCACGGCGGGTGGTACACGGCCACTGTGGTTCACCAAAACGTACCTATTCAAGGGCTCACATTTCGAGCACCGGACATCACACACGCGGAGGAGGTCGCCATAGCCCTCGCCGCAGCGGACCCCGCATCTCGGATAATTATTACCGATTCGCGGAGGGTGTGCCAAAATCTCACACGGGGTTGCATCAATGATCGCGCCGCCGAAATCCTTAAGCGATGCTATTATCTAGATCGCCCAATCCTCGCACCGTCATCTGGGCTCCTGCTCATACGGGGCTAGTTGGAAACGAGGCTGCAGATGCCTCGGCCCGCGCGCTTAATTACCGGGACCCGCCTCGCCCTCCATCGCCTGGTGTTCCAGAACCCAATCCGGCTACCTCTTTCAGAGAAATCACCGCTATGTACAAATCGAACAGGCTCCGCTTCCCACCCCCAGCATCGGGCCTGCCCAAGAAGGACGAGCGCTGGCTCCTCCGTCTCTATACCAATACAGTATTGTGCCCGGCGATACTCAAACATTTCAATCCGGCATTCTCTTGAGAATGCCCGCACTGTGACCATCCGTTCGCGGATACTTTCCATATGGTGTGGGCATGCCCCTCAAATCCGGCGGTCCCGCCACTTCCTTCCCCTTCCCTCCCTACCCGAGAG